TTATAGGAAATTAAAACTGTTTTATTGAGTTTTATTATTTGTTATTATTATTTATATAATTTAGTCGAAAGCTTGTATTTAGTATTGAGTACTTCCGATTACTTTGGTTTGAGCTTGATAAAACTTTTTTTATCTAGATATAATTTTACAAATGTTAGTTGTTTTTACAATGTTGAGATTTTATAGTTTAATAATCTATCAATTGTTTATAAATACTAAATTTTAAATTGTTTTATATTTGCAATTAAATGCCTAACACTATTGCTAGAAATTAATTTAAAGATATAAACGTTAAAATTTAATACAAATTTTAAAATTATTTCAATATATCAATTTTTATAAACCTTTTATAAATACAATAATTTATTTTAACATTAGTTCAAACTTAAATTTAAATTTTCAAATTGATTTAAAAAAAATTATTTCTACTCACTTTTCAGATTAAATGTAAAAATGGAAAATATTAATTGAAAAAACAAAAATTAAAACAAAAACATTATTGATAAATTTATCACTATATGATATAGTCTATATCCAAACCATATCTAAAACATGGTTTAGAAATAATAATCACATGTCCAATTCAGGCACAATTACATTAATTTGCACTAAAAAGAGCGTATTTAATCTAATATTTTGCAATATAAATAGTTAATAGATTATGTTTTAATTATCTGCAGCGATAAAATTGTTTATTAAATAATCATGTTTGTTTAGCGTTTATATTCCTTGTGATAATAAACGGTAATATTATCATAAAATAATAATACTTAGAAATTAAATGAAAAATTTATCTTAATGAATGCTTTCATTTATTTGATCATATAAATTAGATTTGTACAAACTATTTTTAGTTTAATAGATTATTAATATTATTATTAAAAATTATTAATTTAAATTAACACAAATATCTAACCTTATATTAAATATTTAAAATAACTTTTAATATATTTATTTTTATATATTACTAACCGTTATAATAAATTACTATACAATAAAATGCAATAAATTTATAAATATAGTGCAGTCAGGTCACTTTAACCATCTGATAAATATTGTACCAATATCTCTATTTAAATTATACTTATCATTTATGATTATGATCGTGCAATAAATAACCTTGTAAAATCTCACAGAATCTTACCGCATTAAACTGTAATCTGTTTGTTACAGAATATCGCTTATAAATAAAGTGCATTTAAAGTGCTTTACATTACAGTACATCCAATGTGCAGTTGATATGATATCAATTAAAGCAATGTTCCAAATAGTACTTGACTTATGATTACATTATGACTTATGATTTACTTGTATTTTAAAGAATGTGTTTTAGCTGTAACTGTCGTTATTATTACGACATAAATCTTTATGCTCATTTAGATCATGCTTCAATCTGCACTTGAAATAAAGTATAGATAGGTTAAGTTTATACAAAATATCATAATTAATTAATTTTAATAATTATGTCCGACCCAATACTATTTTTATTATATCAAGTATTTTGATAGAAACATAAACTAAAATGTACCCAATATGCAGGTGCAATACTTTATATAACATTATAGTATAAATAAAGAATATTTTTGTAGTAATCATTCATAAGCTCATCATTTGAATCAGATATTAATTACAACCAGTAATCTTACAAAACTTAAAATTTGATAGTTTTTTTACAAAATTTATCATAAAATTACCTAATTCCAAATATCTGTGCCCCGATATGTCCGACCCATTGGCCGCCACTAATTGTCAAACCGATGCCATGCAATCATTGGAAAAGGTATTACAAAACGTCAGGTTTGGGGCAATAATTGGCCCAAAGTATGAGCAAATGCTAGACAAAAGTAAGTGCTATGGAAACCATTTATTTTTACAAATTAGTTTAATCATGATCGTCTTAATCCTAAACTTGTAATACTATTACTTTTAGACGCAAATATCATACAAACACAACCGCAAGAGTCCGACTATTCACTGATTTTAGTGGCCAGTTGTGCGAAACAAACGGTTAAAAAGGTGTTAGACTTAGCTGTTGACCGGAAATCCGACCCAAAGTTTATGTCACTTCTAAACAATGCATTTGTCGGCGGAAAGAGTGGTACTAAACATACGGATCGGGCGTCGGCGGTGGCCAACGACGACAAGGAAGAGTGGCGGGGGTTTGCGGTCCGACAGACGGTTAGTGTCGCCGACGACGGCGGGCCACAGGAGGCGCGCATTATATCGCAACATTTATATCGGTCTATAAATAACCAAAAACCCAGTGTTTGGTTCATATTTTCAGGTATACATTTATCACTCCTTTCTGTCACACCCTGTATGTCATACATAACTTTAACACACTGTATGTTTATCCACAAAAAATTACAGGTCGAGTGCCAAACATAAGCGATCGGATGCCGTCCCTAATGACAAACCAGGCGTTCCGGGTGTCCATCGAAGAGTCGGCCCGTATACTTACCCTACTGGGGGTCGATCTCATGGCATATTTAAGCCAAACACCGACCGATCGCCAGAAAGAGACCACCGAAGCGATGGTCACGAGATATCGGATCGTAACGTTCGCCTATCAGATGGCTTTTGTGGACGCCCTGAGCGCACTCGGCATCACTCCCGACGGTTATATCGGTATGTCTATGGGAGAGCTCGGGTGCGCACATTTGGACGGTGTGGCCAATAGAGATCAGTGTTTCAGGCTATTGATGGCCACAGGATTGCCAACTGGTCTACCAGAGGGGCGCAAGTACTTGAGCGCCCTAATCGACTGTCCATGGTCAGAGTTGGGCGCACTACTCGCCCCCACAACCCTAATTAGCCCATACGGTCATTGCAACCAAAATCAATCCATGGTAATCGGAGAAGAGGGAGCCGTTAAGGCACTGGTGGCTGACATGAACGCCACTCCCGGCGCCCCCACAGGCAGAACACTGGCTCCGGGCGCGCACTTAATGCACACCGAAGGGGCGTTTGTACCGGATTTTTACGACACTGTAGTAAAACGATTGGCCAAAGCGGTACCTGAGTTGGTCGGGCGGGGTCGGGGTCCCAGCCATCGATGGCTACTCACAGCGGCTATGAGCCCGGGTGTGGTCAGCCCGGAATACAGCGCCGGGGCTAAAGACTTTTCACTTGTCCAATATTTTGGCCGCGTTTTGGTCTCTCATATGTACGTAAAAGAGGCGGTCGATCGGCTCCCGGCCAACGCCCTGGTCATCGATGTCGGGTCGGGCGGACGGTTCCGTGACTTTGCCCTTATTGGCAGACCTCAGGCCCGCTATTTTGACATTCAAGGCATTGATTTGAACATCAATTCTGTGTCCGCTTATGGGTTGGACGGACTGTTGCGCGAAATGGGATACCTGTTTACTACCGGTGTTTTGCCCTTGACACTGTGATTGACCATGGTCACTATATGAAAATCATTGTCATGTATATTTATATATGGTTAAATTATTACAAAATAAATTAAAATAAAACATAAATTGAATGTTTGGGTAATTGTTCATTAATTTTCAGTTAAGTTATTTATTAATAATATTATTATTAAAATAGTTGTTAAATAATCATTTAAATAATCATTACTAAAGCTCGCAAAAAAGTGGAAAAATATTTTAATTGTTGTAATTAAAAAAAAATAATACAAAACAAGTGTTAGCTAAATGCCTAGCAATTAAACCCCAATACACGAGTTTGGAATTAACTATTCAAAAGGGTTTCTAGCTTTGTAAATAAATAATTTTTTGATTTATTAATTGAATAAGTATTTGTATTTGTAATAACTAGTTAGTAATCTATAGATAACACAACTCATTGTTCACATTAATCATGTTTCTGTATGTTGTGATAACAATAAGTTTTAAATACAAATATTTCACTTACATTCTGAATGTAACATTCATTTAATGAATTTTTATCATGATTATTGCTAAATTTATTTTTGAATAACTTTAAATTGTACTAATTATACTGTAATTCTAGCTCAATGCGAAATTTACTTTTTATATTGTAGTTTTATCATGACAAATCAACATCATTGATAGAATTAATTATCATTGTCAGTAAATAATAAATAATAATTAAATAATTGTGTATATATGCAACTTATTTTACTTGTAACTCAAACAAGATAGTAATTCCTAACTAATTTTGTATAAAATGAATGCAAGCAAACAATCTGATGAGTCGGTGGCCGACAAACTGGACGTTATGGTCGGCGCCAACACTCAAGTGGACGACAACTTTGATTACCGTTTAAACGAAACCAGTGGTACGGAAGGAGCGGCCGATGAGTGGCGCGGGTTTGCGGTCCGACGACTTAAATGTGACGGCACGGGCTTTGAGCACATTTTGCATCACATCTCCAGCCATACCGGTAGTAATAATAAGTGTTCTAGTTGTAAATAGTTTTAATATAAAGTTAAAGTAAAGTTTAAATTTTATGTAGTTTAAAAACTCCATCTAAAAAGTAAAGCTAAATATTCTGACAAAAGTAATCAAGCGTTAGCTTTAAAATTTAGGACAATGGGCATACTTAGCGGACTTAAGTGCCACCATTAGAAAGAAAATTTGATTTAATAATTTTATTCATATTTTAATTATATATCACCTTAACCATAATCAATAAACATAATTTATAACATTATATAAAAATAATCATTTTAGTGAAAGCTAAAGTTATCTTAATGTTATTATTAGACTCAAATGTCGTACGAACACAACCACCAGAATCCGAGTATTCACTCACTTTAGTGGCCAGTCGTGCGAAACAAACGGTTAAAGAAGTGTTAGACTTAACTGTTGACCAGAAATCCGACCCAAAGTTTGCGTCACTTTTAGAGAAAACATTTGTTGCCGGAAAGAGTTGTACGGAAGGCACGGATCGGGTGTCGGCGGTGGCCGACGACGACGAGGAGGAGTGGCGGGGGTTTGCGGTCCGACACAAGGCTACTGTTGGCGCCGACGGCGGGCCACAGGAGGCGCGCATTGTATCGCAACATATATATCGGTCTATTAATAGCCAGAAACCCAGCGTTTGGTTTATATTTTCAGGTATATATTCATTACAATAACTCCTATCTGCCATATCCTGTATATTATACATAATATCAATACACTGTATGTTTATTTATAAACAAATTACAGGTCGAGTGCCAAACATAAGCGATCGGATGCCGTCCCTAATGACGAACCGGGCGTTCCGGGAGTCCATCGAAGAGTCGGCCCGTATACTAACCCCACTGGGGGTCGATCTTATGGCATATATAACCCAAACACCGGCCGATCGCCAGAAAGAAGTCAGCGAAGATGTGAAAGTCACCAAATATCGGATTGTAACGTTCGCCTATCAAATGGCTTTCGTGGACGCCCTGAGCGCACTCGGCGTCACTCCCGACGGCTATATTGGTATATCTATGGGCGAGCTCGGGTGCGCACATTTGGACGGTGTGGCCGATAGGGAGCAGTGTTTCCGGCTATTAATGGCCATCGGATTGCCCGACGGTCTACCTGTTGGGCGCAAACATGTGTGCGCCACAATCAACTGGCCATGGTCAAAATTGGACCAACTACTGGCCTTAACAGCTCTTATCAGTCCTTACGGTCATCACAATAAAAATCTATCGATGGTTGCGGGCGAAGAGGGAGCCGTCCGGGCACTGGTAGACAACATTAACACCACCTATGGGGCGGCCACAGGCAGGACAGTAGCTCTTGAGGTACACTTAACGCACACCGAAGCGGCGTTTGTACCGGATTTCTACGACACTGTAGTCAAACGATTTGCCAAAGCGGTACCCGAGTTGGTCGCACGGAGTCGGGGTCCCAGCCATCGGTGGCTACTGACAGCGGCTCTCAGTCCGGGTGTGGTCAACCCTGAGTACAACGCCGAGGCTAAAGATTTTTCACTTGTCCAATATTTTGGCCGCGTTTTGGTCTCTCATATTTACACAAAAGAGGCGGTCGATCGGCTCCCGGCAAACGCTCTGGTCATTGATGTCGGGTCGGGCGGACGGTTCCGGGACTTTATTCTTTTGAGTAGACCTCAGGCCCGCTATTTTGACTTTAAAGGCAATCAATTCAGTGATTTGTACACCAATTCTGTGTCCGCCTATGGTTTGGACGGACTGTTGCGCGAAATTGGATACCTGTTTACTGCCGGTGTTTTACCATAAGCACTGTGCAAATAATTATCAACAAAAAGTTTATAACAATAAAACTAAGAAATTAGTTTAACAAGAAAGAGAGTTTTCCAAATTAACCTTGGGTTATTTTTTACTTAGGTTAGCCTAGGTCAAAGTCAAAATTACTATGTATTTTTAATACAATTACAAAAATTATAAAACAATCTATTTCATGGTTGTTGGCGGTTCATGACCGTAATCTGAGCTAAATAAATATTTCAAACTAGCTACATTTTCACTAGAAAATATTAAAAGTAATAAATTGTATTATTATATAATAACATGGTTTAAAAATAGTAATTACATGTCCAAGTAATTTGCACTGAAAAGAGCGTATTTAATCAAATATTCAATATTTCGCAATATAAATAATTAACAGCTAACGATTTTATTATCTGCAGCAATAAAATTGTTTATTAAATAATCATGTTTGTTTAGCGCTAATATCCTTTGGGATTAAATTATCATAAAATAACATTACTTGGGAAATTAAATAAAAAATTAATTTTAATAAATGTTTTCATTTATTTGACCAGATAAATTAGATTTGTTGAAACTATTTTTAGTTTAATAGATTAGTAATATTAATATTCAAATATTATAAATTTAAATTAACACAAATATTTATAATAATCACTGGTTATGTACTTTTTTATTACGGTATATAAAGTATTTGATAAAAACATAAACTAAAATGCACCCAATATGCAGTTGCAATACATTATACAACATTATGGTATAAATAAAGGATATTTTTGTAGAAATCATTCATAAGCTACACCGCAGTAAAAGTATCATAAATCAAATCAGATATTAATTCCAACCATTAATAAACTTTTATTTGTAAACTTATCATTAAAAATTACCTATTTCCAAATATCTGTGCCCCGATATGTCCGACCCATTGGCCGTCACTAACTGTCAGTCCGATGCCATGCAATCATTGGAGAAGGTATTACCAAACGTCACGTTTGGGGCAATAATTGGCCCAAAGTATGAGCAAATTCTAGACAAAAGTAAGTTCTATCGAAATTTATTTTACAATTTATTTTCATCATGATCGTTTTAATCTTAAACTTGTAATAATATTACTTTTAGACTCAAATGTCGTACGAACACAACTGCAAGAGTCCGAGTATTCACTCATTTTAGTGGCCAGTCGTGCGAAACAAACGGTTAAAGAAGTGTTAGACTTAACTGTCGACCAGAAATCCAACCCAAAGTTTATGTCACTTTTGGACAAAACATTTGCCGGTAAAAAGAGTGGTACGGATCGGGTGTCGGCGATGGCCGACGACGACGAGGAGGAGGAGGAGTGGCGCGGGTTTGCGGTCCGACAGACGGCTACTGTTGGCGCCGACGGCGGGCCACAGGAGGCGCGCATTGTATCGCAACATATGGATAGGTCTATCAATAGCCAGAAACCAAGTGTTTGGTTCATGTTTTCAGGTATACTGTACATTTATTTATTGCAATAACTCCTTTCTGCCACACCCTGTATGTCATACAAAACAGTAACACATTTTATGTTTATTCACAAACAAACCACAGGTCAAGTGCCAAACATAAGCGATCGGATGCCGTCCCTAATGACAAACCGGGCGTTCCGGGAGTCTATTGAAGAGTCAGCCCGTGTACTAACCCCACTGGGAGTCAATCTTATGGCATATTTAACCCAAACACCGGCCGATCGCCAAAAAGAGACCACCGAAGCGATGGTCACGAGATATCGGATCGTAATGTTCGCCTATGAGATTGCTTTCGTGGACGCCCTGAGCGCACTCGGCATCACTCCTGACGGCTATATCGGTATGTCTTTGGGAGAGATCTTGTGCGCACATTTGGACGGTGTGGCCAATAGGGAGCAGTGTTTTCGGCTAGTGATGGCTATTGGACTGCCTGAAGGTCTGCCCGCGGGGCGCAAATACTTGAAGGCACTAATCAACTGTCCATGGTCAGAGGTGGGCGCACTACTCGCCCCCACACCCCTTATCAGCCAATACGGTCATTGTAACCAAAATCAATCCATGATTGTCGGCGAAGAGCAAGCCGTTCGGGCACTGGTGACCGATATCAACGCCACTCCCGGCGCCCCCACAGGCAGAGCACTGGCTCCGGGCGCGCACTTAATGCATACCGAAGGGGTGTTTGTACCGGATTTCTACGATAGTGTATTAAAACGATTTGCCAAAGCGGTACCCGAGTTGGTCGAGCGGGGTCGGGGCCCCAGCTATCGGTGGCTACTGACAGCGGCTATCACTCCAGGTGTGGTCAACCCTGAGTACAGCGCCGGGGCTAAAGACTTTTCACTTGTGCAATATTTTGGCCGCGTTGTGGTCTCTCATATGTACGTAAAAGAGGCAGTCGATCGGCTCCCGGCAAACGCCCTGGTCATCGATATCGGGTCGGGCGGACGGTTCCGGGACTTTATCCTTTTGGGTAGACCTCAGGCCCGCTATTTTGACATTCAAGGCAATGATGTGAACATCAATTCTGTGTCCGCCTATGGTTTGGACGGACTGTTGCGCGAAATGGGATACATGTTTACTGCCGGTGTTTTGCCATTAGCACTGTGATTCACCATGGTAACTACACACATGGTCTAAATCACTTTTACCACCCATGACTATAGTTCGGGCGTCAATTCAAACAATTTATAAAACATATTTTTAAATTTTGTGTTTTTTTGTCAAAATTTAAACTGTATTCGTGTTTTTTTAAATAATTTGTTGTTATCATGTTCGTTTTTTTAATCTGTGAGACAATACAGTTCTGTGTACTAAAAATACTTAAATTATTCAATATATCAAAATACAACCGAATTGGAAATAAATGTATAATTTTAACATATTTAATACAAAAATAATTATTATAGTTATAATTAAAACACATTATTTTGAATAAAACATTTTAAATCATTTTTAATTTGAGTTAATAGATTTAAACTAAATAAATTAATGTAAACATAATTACATACAGGGCAGGGCAGGGATTCCCTCTAAGCAAAAATTACAGGGAACAGGGCAGGGCAGGGAAATGAAAATTGGAAAAAGTTGCATGTCTACTATGGACTTTACAATAGTGATATAGATTAGTTTTAAAATACTAATTAAAATTATTTTATAATAAACTATATCGGATAAAAAATAAATAACCTTGTTTAAGTTAAACAAATAACAACAAGTTATAAGAAAAGTTGCAATAGAATAACATTAGACATATTAATGTTGATTACTGCTAATCCTATCACTTAAAATACATATTATGCGCCAAGGTTAAAGTCAATCAAACAGTGTGAACTGATACAGTGGCCAATCAACATTAAACAACTAAGTCCGTTAACTAAATCCTTTGGAGAGTTATAGGATAAGTATTGATTACAAATAATATGTTAATATAATCTAAAATAACATTATTTGTTTAGGTTATCACAACTAAATGTGACATTTATATTTTTGAATATAACAATTCAAATGGTAAGCGATAAGTGTCATAACTACTATAATAATAATCTAACCGCAAATATTTTTCTTTGTTCTAAAATATACGCATTTCTAAATTATTCACTATGCTAAAACAGCCATTAGTGATAGTAATATATTTATTATATCCTGCAAATAAACGTGACCAGTGTAATTTATATTAATATTAATGAATCATATCCCAAAGGGACGTCAATTACAGCCCGTAGAGTCCGAGTCGGACTCTAGCAAAAGCAATAACTCAAATAGCGATGACCCGCGCAATGCGCTCACGAATCAAATAAAACGAGTGGGTCTTCGGCCGGTGGATGACCGACCTCTCAGACCCATGCGTAAGAAAACCTATGAAAAGGGAGGTCTGAAGGAAGCGCTAATGCGGGAAATAAACGAGAGTTTGCCAGTCGTCAATTGGACAGACTACGCGAGCGACGACGACCCCTCTAACTTTCAACACATCCAACGCAACGGTTCGAATCCAAACACCGGTTTCGATATCGAGACCGTCGACCCAAACCTCCGCCAGTTCTTCGCCGAAGCGGGCGTTTCTGAGGAACAGCTCGAAGACAATGAAATACGAAATTTCATTTTCGATTTTCTCGATAAACACGGAGGCGTTGTGGCGGCCCTTCAAGAGGTCCGCGCACCCGCACCGTCCGTCCGATCCGTACCGCCCAATGCCTTTCATTCTGTGTCACAACTTCCACCCCAACCGTCTGTCCATCACAACCACAACTCACCGCCGCCGCTACCAAAACTTCCGTCGCCTTATTTGCACAGCAATCGGTTACCTTATAAACCCAATGCAACTCCGATACCATCGATGCCCACCACAGATGGGCTCCCCCGCCGAGCTCCTCCGCCGCTTCCGCCCAAGCTTAGTAAGTAAATATTAAATACATGTATAATAATTAATTTATAAATATTTTATCTTGATGTATAGACAGACGACTGACAGTTATTACAGAAACAGATATAAGTCAAAGACAACTAGAACTACAATCGACACCCATTTTAGCTGACACCAGGAATTTCGATCAAGGTAATTTAATTGACATATGATTATATGATTCTTTATAATCTTTTTGCAATTAATTTAAATGCAATAAATGAAAGCAAAAGTTAAAATAATCAATTATTGCTTTTTCTGTGTTACCGATAGACCCACGACTACATTTAAATCCCACTATAATAAACACTGATGATTTAGACGACAATGGTAACTATAAAACACAATTCATTGAGATGTCAGCCATAGGTTCGGGTGGTTTTGGGACTGTATTTAAAGTATAGCATAGATTGGATGATAAGATATATGCCATCAAAAGAGTACAATTTGGGCGTAAATTCAATAACAATGTATAAATTTTAAACAAAATATTTCACAAACAATTTCTACAGATTTTAGCGACAAAAAGAAAGACGACATTTTAAAAGAAGTGAAATGTTTGGCAAAACTGGATTCAAATTTTGTGGTCAAGTTTTACGACTCATGGCTTGAGTCTAAACATCTCTTTATTCAAATGGAGTTTTGTTCGCAAAGTCTTAAAACTATTCTCAAAGACAAACCCAAAGCATTCGGTAGACAACAACCGGAAGACCCGATGAATGATGTTTTCGAGTATTTTATTTCGTGCGAAATATTCAAAGAGCTCTTACAGAGTGTCCGATATCTACACGAATTGAATCCAGCGGTCATTCATCGGGACCTCAAACCCGATAACATATTAATCGACTCCAACTTTGGCTCCAATTGTTGCGTAAAAGTGTGTGACTTTGGTTTGGCCACCGATCACAACATCGAGGGACACACCGGCAGCCGATACGGCCATACATCAGGAGTGGGCACTCTTGCATATTAGTGGTTGAAATTTCAGTGTCGGTATCGCGATACAATACTAGCGACACTGAGTATCGGTATCGGTGTCGCGACACCAATACCGACACCAATACTGGTTTTGAAATCCTACCGATACCACCGATACCAACGATACTACCGACACCACCGACACTACCGATGCCAGCGATATTAATTATACTTTTTATTATAATTATTATTTATATATCAGCATTAAGCTCACTAATTGTAATGATTTTGTTTAGTAATTAGTTAACTAGCGTTAAATGTAACAGTAAAATTAAAAACCTCATTAGATTGCGCATGCTCACGACACTACCAATACTACCGATACTACCGATACCACCGATACCACCGATACTACCAATACTACCGATACTACCGATACCACCGATACTACCAATACTACCGATACTACCGACACCAACGACACTACCGATACCGACACCGATACTGAGTTTTAAAATTTTTACCGATACCGATACGACACCAAACTACAATTTTTAAGATTTTTCAATCTCTATTGCATATATGGCACCCGAAGTAATTTCTGGCAGCGGTTATAATCATAAATCCGACATTTATAGCCTCTCATTAATCGGTCAGCAGTTGTTTGGTATCGATCTCCAAGCGTAAGTGTTTTAGCAATATTTAGAGCAGCGATGAGATCAGGGGCTTTTTTACGGGCAAATGTGATTATATTGAGTGCAACTATTAATATATTGTGTTATAGAAATAGAAAGGAAGGGTTTGTAGATATGAATATTTATGAGTAACTAAAGGGTAAAATATTTAGTCAAAATTTATAACGTTTATAATGAATAAATCACAAAACGACAAGCATGCGAATATTCATCTGATCATTGCTGATTTAGAGTAATAATTAATTTTAAACTTATTTGTTATTATTAATTGATTTAAAGCTCTCAAACATTCAATACTAATGACTCAGTGATTAAGAAACCAATACTATTGATGTCTAAAATGCTGGAGAAAATGATGTCAACCCCGCGATGGAGAGATAGGCCTGAGTGTCGGGAAGTGTTGGCCAATAAATTGCAGTGGTCTGTCAATGAGAGTGTTGTCACAAATCATAATGATTTTATTTCTGTGTTAAATAAACTTAAATCTAATGACAATTCATTATTTTATGAAATTTTGTTTCGTAAGACTAAATAAATTTTTTAAAGCTCATCTTAAGCTCGTCATTTTAAAGTTTTTTATTAATTGAAAAAACCTATTTTAAAAATGTACTAATTTTAAATATACTGTATACTAATTTAAAATAATTTTGCAGAAATCTAACAAGTAATTGAATTCAAGATTGCACCAAGACCAAACTTATTTAGTGTAAAACTGTTGGCAAAAGCGCCGGTACTTCACAATAGTCTCGTCATTGCGGGTAAACACCGGGCGCTTAGGTCTCTGGCTGTTTATCCAAATCATAATATCGCCCGAAATCTATTTGAAAACCACAAACAATGATTTAACTTAAGTAATAGTATTATCAAAAACAACTAATGTATATAATTTGTTATGTTTAATATATGGGCCAAACATAATAATAAAACTCACCTGGTTGAGTAGAAAATAATGATAGCCCAATGGAAACAATGAGCTAATAATAGATCGCTTAGTGTACAAGAGTGTTGTCATGAGGGTCTGGTCGTGCCGTATGGGCACACATATGGCCACCGATAACACAACGCCACCAAACGAGTGTTCAGTGCCCACCGCTAATGAGGCCGACACTGGCGACCATTGATGCAGAATAAACGGTATTGTGGCCATGGTGCGTTTAAATACGCATAGTGTCATGGTGCCCTGGCCAACTGTTGCCGGTTCGTGGCCGTAATCGGGGCTAAATGACCATTTCAAACTAGCTACATAGGGTATGAGTTCGCTGTGCACGTAATTTAAGTGGTGTATGTCAGATGAATTTTCTATGATAGTCTACCACCATGATTAAATAATTAATTCATTATGATTGAATGAATATTCAATTTTATACTTTACCTGAAAGGAAGTTAATACCATTTGGGGATAACTTTGTTGTAGAACAAGCTTTACATTATGTTTGGCTACAAAATCATCGGGGTAATAATCGGGGTCCTTATCCTCCGAGTGGTGCCAAACATATATCACTTCATTCTTCTCTATTGTCTGCCATTTCTTTACCACAGCTTTCACTGCCTTTAATTCAGAGTCTATTAAAAAGTCAATATTAATTACAAATAAGGTTTTATTACTTTATAAATAAATGTAATTTATTATTATAGACATACCGTTGAGATTAGGTATGCGTTTGCACTGACCGATTAATGAGAGGCTATAAATGTCGGATTTATGATTATAACCGCTGCCAGAAATTACTTCGGGTGCCATATATGCAATAGAGATTGAAAAAT